AGCGTGGTAATTCAACGCATGGGAATTCGGCGCGTGGTAATTCCACGCGTGGTAATTCGGCGCGTGGTCGAGTACTTTTATCGGGTTCTACTGCGAAGTAATTCGAGAAGACAAACGATTCGGAATGTAAAAATCCTTATCCGATAATGAAATCGAGATGGCGTTTCAACGTCCGCTCTATCGATGCAACTTTTTTCAGACAAATTCGACGCTTGGTAATTCGATGCGTGGTAATTCGGTGCATGGTGATTCCACGCGTGGAAATTCGACGCGTGGAAATTCCACGCGTGGTAATTCCATGCGGGGTAATTCGACGCATGGAAATTCGGTGCTTGGAAATTCCACGCGTGGTAATTCGACGCATGGAAATTCGGTGCGTGGTAATTCCATGCGTGGTAATTGGACGCGTGGAAATTCCACGCATGGAAATTCGACGCGTAGTAATTTGATGCGTGGTAATTCCACGCGTGGTAATTCGACGCATGGAAATTCGGTGCGTGGTAATTCCATGCGTGGTAATTGGACGCGTGGAAATTCCACGCATGGAAATTCGACGCGTAGTAATTTGATGCGTGGTAATTCCACGCGTGGTAATTCGACGCATGGAAATTCGGTGCGTGGTAATTCGACGCGTGGTAATTCTACGCGTAAAAATTTTAATCAACAATTTTCAAACTCTCCGATCGCATCTGGCCAAATGAGAGTTCACCAGATCAAAGGAAGTTCTTACTGAACATACAGTCTCGACTATAGCGATAAACTTTCAATAAAACTGTACCTGACCAGTCATTCTTGTTTATGATCGTGCGTTTCGAAAACATTCGATTCGAAGAAGACCTCAGAATATTCCGTTGAGCTTTCTGATGTTAAAGATTTTTTTTAATTGTATTATCTCTGGATACCTTTTAATAATGATAGCAGATAATGTATTACTATGTTTATCAGATTGCGTCCACTTTATCAGGTCTTCCATCGAGTTTGCACTGAACGGTGCCGAAAAAATAAAATCATGGCCATTTTCGGCGATAAGAGTCTGCGTCCACATGATTTGACAAAATGAACAATTCTTGTGAATACAGGAGTTATCGTTTTGCTGAACTGCTTTGATGATTAAACGAAGATCATTTATTGAGTATGAGGTTACTTCTGCATGCCCTGCACACGAGTCGAAGTATGCGAATCTAAGGTAGCGGTTATCATCAAACAACAAGGAACATAAGATAAATATCGTTATGTAAGTTATTGCCAGTAACTATGATAAACATCTAGTTACGTGATCGACCAATTACTCACTCTTCGAAGAATCGTTAAACTTGTTGATAAGGAGTAACTATAAATGGTATCACAGTCGATTGTATAGCAGATTCGAATGAACATTTTGATCAGTAATCAAAGCTACCTGTCGAAATGCGTAAGTTCGTTCTGTTGTTCGCGTGCCTATCCTTGCTCGCCCTTGCACAGGCCAACAATTTTATCGTAGGAAAACGGTCACCACGCGAGATTGTACTCCATAATCGCTATGTGTACAAGGTAAGAAATATTCACGTGGCAAGAAATTAATTACATTAAGTTGTGAAGTGTCAAGTTGTTACATTCGTATCATTAGAATATGATAGTCAGATATTGCGATCGTTAATCAAATTTCATATACGTAAAAACAAGGATTATACAGTACTATAAATAATTCAACATTAAACTGCGCGACATAATAATAAATATAAAATTAACAATTTGAATTGATTACAGCCACCAATACCTCACGTCAGGCACAGATTAATTCTTGGAGTTAATGCTCATCCTGGCCAAGTAGTTTCATTTGTCTCCGTGAAAAATGCCAATCCCATGACAGCATGGATCAGCATGATCAGAGGCAACCTTGGACAACCATATATGCTACTATCAGTAATTGGATTACCAGGCGCTGAAATTAGACTACATTTCATTGCCTGCGCTGTGCCTCTTCAAATTTCCACTACTGAAAGACCCACGACAACTTCGATAATCACTACACCGTCACCTACACCAACGCATACACCAGGACCAACTGGTACAGGCACTCCTACAACAACACCTTGGCCGACAACTACAGGATCAACTACTACAGGCAGTCCTACAACAACACCTCGGGAAACAACTCCTGGACCAACAACTACAGGCACTCCTACAACAACACCTTCGGAGACAACTCCAGGACCAACTACTACAGGCACTCCTGCAACAACACCTTGGCCGACAACTACAGGATCAACTACTACAGGCAGTCCTACAACAACACCTCGGGAAACAACTCCTGGACCAACAACTACAGGCACTCCTACAACAACACCTTCGGAGACAACTCCAGGACCAACTACTACAGGCACTCCTGCAACAACACTTTGGCCGACAACTCCAGGACAAGATACTACTACGACTAGCCCTGCACCATCACCTACACCAACGTATACTCCAGGACCACCTAATACAGGCACTCCTACATTACCGCCTGCAAAGACAAGTACTCCAGGACATGATACTATTGCGAGCAGCCCTGCACCATCTTCTCCCTCGAGCAGTTCAGCACCATCTTCCCCCTCAAGCAGTCCAGCACCATCTTCCCCCTCAAGCAGTCCTGCACCATCTTCTCCCTCGAGCAGCCCTGCACCATCTTCTCCCTCGAGCAGCTCTGCACCATCTTCTCCCACAAGCAGCCCTGCACCATCTTCTCCCTCGAGCAGCTCTGCACCATCTTCTCCCACAAGCAGCCCTGCACCATCTTCTCCCTCGAGCAGCTCTGCACCATCTTCTCCCACAAGCAAGCAGCCCTGCACCACCTTCTCCCTCAAGCAGTCCTGCACCATCTTCTCCCTCAAGCAGCTCTGCACCACCATCTCCTTCCTCAAGCAGCCCTGCTCCATCTTCTCCCTCGAGCAGTCCAGCACCATCTTCTCCCTCGAGCAGCTCTGCACCATCTTCTCCCACAAGCAGCCCTGCACCATCTTCTCCCTCAAGCAGCTCTGCACCACCATCTCCTTCCTCAAGCAGCCCTGCTCCATCTTCTCCCTCGAGCAGTCCAGCACCATCTTCTCCCTCGAGCAGCTCTGCACCATCTTCTCCCTCGAGCAGCTCTGCACCATCTTCTCCCTCGAGCAGCTCTGCACCATCTTCTCCCTCGAGCAGCTCTGCACCATCTTCTCCCTCGAGCAGCTCTGCACCATCTTCTCCCTCGAGCAGCTCTGCACCATCTTCTCCCTCGAGCAGCTCTGCACCATCTTCTCCCTCGAGCAGCTCTGCACCATCTTCTCCCTCGAGCAGCTCTGCACCATCTTCTCCCTCGAGCAGCTCTGCACCATCTTCTCCCTCGAGCAGCTCTGCACCATCTTCTCCCTCGAGCAGCTCTGCACCATCTTCTCCCTCGAGCAGCTCTGCACCATCTTCTCCCTCGAGCAGCTCTGCACCATCTTCTCCCTCGAGCAGCTCTGCACCATCTTCTCCCTCGAGCAGCTCTGCACCATCTTCTCCCTCGAGCAGCCCAGCACCATCTTCCCCCTCAAGCAGCCCTGCACCATCTTCTCCTTCAAACAGTCCTCCACCGTCTTCTCCCTCAAGCAGCCCTGCACCATCTCCTCCCTCAAGCAGCCCTGCACCATCTTCTCCCTCGAGCAGCCCTGCACCATCTTCTCCTTCCTCAAGCAGCCCTGCTCCATCTTCGTCTTTTCCATCAAACAGCTCTGCACCATCTCCTTCCTCAAGCACCCTTGCACCATCTTCTCCCTCGAGCAGCCCTGCACCATCTCCTTCCTCCAGCAGCTCTGCACCATCTTCTCCCGCAAGTAGTCCTGTACCATCTTCTCCATCAAGCAACCCTGCACCATCTTCTCCTTTAAACAGCCCTGCACCACCTTCTCCGTCGGCTGATTCTTCGAGCAGCAGCTCAGAGTCGTCATCAATGGAAGAGGACTCAGATGAGGACTGGTATGATAGTTGGACGAACTGGATTTTGCGTTAATTCGATACAATAGTCGGGGAGTACCAGTACTTTGGTACATGGTCGGGAGATACATGTAAGTTTCGACCTCCAGGTTCGAAGGTACTTTGTCCAACGTCAAGGGAATATAAACCCACCTATATGTTAGCTATACGAATCCTGTATGTAGTAGTTATAGTATGAACGGAGATTTGTAATGTACTTGAAGTATTTTAAATAAATTCTGGAAATCTTGCATTAATTGTGTGGAAATTGTGTTTGGAATCCTGTGTACCTGTTCCGGAAAATTCAGAATTGAGAAATTAGTAGAAATAAAAGATTTGGAGAAATGGTTTAACGCTAAGTTCAGGTAGTATGTCCACGGTTAGGTCAGAAGTCGTATGCATATGGAAATATATCGTCGAGTGAGAAATAGCGAGAAAGGTGTTACCTCTGATGGCGAATGCGTAAAGCAGCGGCACAACTTCCACGCGTTTCTCACGCGAGAACCTTCGTCGGGCAACCACGTAATCTAAATACAGGAACTTCCGTTTTACGAATTTCGTGACTAACGACCTGTTAGTTATCCTTGCAGCTAACCCCTCGGGGAATAAATTAAAATTCTCACGGGCAGGAACAACGTCGTCCGTCCGTTGTCGCTTACGTATTTCAGCTACCATTGATCCTCCGTGACGGGGATGTAATTCGGTGCGCTTGAAAATTCTAAGCACAAACGTTTCGTTGCTAACGCGTTTCCAGGAAACTTGCTCCACCGAACGATGCGATGTTTTAGGGCTGCATCGCACGTAAACCGTCGCCGTTGCTTGATTCGCTTCATCATCCACGCGGTTCCTGAGCGTCTTTCTGACCCTACGTTTTTCTTATCTCGTTCTTCCTACTTTTTTTGCTGTCCATTCTGCACGCGCGAGCCTCGGAAACGACGCTCGTGAAAATCGTACTCCAATTTGGTAAAATCCGATTTGTATGGATGGTCGGAATCGCGATATCGTGGCTGTGGATATCGAGCCGAGGCTCCCGTGGAATTTTGATGGCATTCATCGGATGAAGCGGCTAAGTAACCAACCGTTTGAAAAATTAATACGTTCGAAGATCAACAACCCTCGTTAAATATTATTGCGCGGTTTATTTCTTCCTTGATCTTTACTTCATTCTTCGTTAAGCTGAAATTCTCGATTTAATAATAAACATGTAATAAAAAAATATTTCATCAATTAAATGAATGTCGTAAAGATTAAAATAATGTTCCACTTCATAATTAGAAAATGAAATAACGCAGACAAGAATTTCCGTGTTAAATCAACTCACAATTATCTCAAACAGCATGGGATTAAATAAAGCAATATAATATTCATATAATCGTTCGTTGAAATTCATTATTGAAATAATAATTTTTCACATGTATTATTTAAATAATTTTTCACACGTATCAACGGGTAATCATTTTTCATATGTACACTCGAATCGTTCCGCGGGCGTACTCGAATATTTATTTTTCAATCGCGCTGTCTGAATAATGTCCAAGATTTGCAATCAAACTTGAAATTTTTAGTCGCCGTGTAACACGGTGGGTGCGAAACAAAATTAAACAGCGTTCGCACGGAAAATGACTTTTAATTAAACTGCACGTCAAGCGGTTTATTTCAACGTGCAAACCTATTAATATTAATTCGAACCGCGCAGTCGGGAGAGAAATTATGTCGTTTCCTCCGTAAGATTAGTCCGGCACCGAATCACGAAGAATCTACGATTCATCTCATCTTTCTAAATCACCCCTCGCGTCGTATCAAGGAAAACCCTTTTCACGATCCACCCCTTTTCAATCTTTACTAACCAACGCATTAATCCTCGCATAAATTGTATTCTCTCGCCACGAATTCTATATCAGCTTCATTGTATTAGAACAAAAAGGGAGATACTATTTATTATTATTTATTTACTTGGCATTATTAGGAAGTACATAATATTGTTTCATGTATCAGGAAGTATTGGTCAAGTTGGAGAATTACTAACTTGCCACCTATAGTGTTGCAATTGCAAAATCTAGCACATGCATGGTGATCTAACGCGTGATCTAACGCGTATTAATCTAACGCAGAGTGATTTAATGAATAGAGCCGCAACGCATGGAAATTTAACGCGTGACGATGCAATGTACGACCTTACATTACAGTAATGTAACGCGTAGTAATGTGACATGTGGGTATCTAACGCGTGTAGATGCAACGTGTAGATATCTAACGCATAGGAATCTAACATGTAGATATCTATTACGCAACCAAGCAACGCATGGAAATCTAACGCATGACAATCCAATATGTCATGATCTCACGCGTAATAATGTAACGCGTGGTAATCTAACATGTGGATATCCGACGCGTAGTAATCTGACACGGAGGGTTGCAATGTGTGGGACTCTAACTTGTAGTAATTTAGTGCGTGGTAATTTGGTGTATAGAAAATCTAACGCGTAATAATTTATCGCGTGGTAATTTAATATGTAGCGATGCAGCGTGTGGAAATTTAACGCGTGGTAATTGAACGTGTGGATATCTGACGCGTAGTAATTGAACGCGTGGAAATCTAACGCGTAGTAATCGAACGTGTGGATATGTAACACGTGGTAATTGAATGTGTGGAAATCTAACGCATGGTAATCGAATGAGTGGAAATCTAACGCGTGACAATAGAACTTATGGAAATCTAACGCGTAGTAATTGGACGTGTGGAAATCTAACGCGTAGTAATTGGACGTGTGGAAATCTAACGCATGGTTATTGAACGTGTGGAAATCTAACGCGTAGTGATTCAACATGTAACACGTGGTGATCCAACACATAGAAACCTTCTTCCAGAAACGTAAAGTTGAATTCTAACAATAAGTTCGCTAATATAATTGTTTCTTCGACTGATTTGTGGAAAAATAGCCTGCAGCAACAAGTGAGAGTCGAGATGTTTGGACCCAAAAAGCTTGTAATAATGGCTGGGCCGATAGAACCGAGTCGAGCGGAATCGAACGTTCCTCTCCACTTTTATTCTCCCGCATTTCGATGAGAGAAAGTCAATAAAATGGAACAGATGGTCGATCGGGAAATCGCTACATTGTGTGTCTTTTCGCTATTACAGCGACGTGTTTACGTTTTTCTGTCTCCCTTCTTGCAAATGCTTTTTCTTTTCTTTCGATAATAGTTGCGCAAACTTTTAGCAACAACTGATGTGTAATGAAATGATAGAGGAAGGATTAAAGACTGTTGTTATCGCTGCTAAATTGTCATTCCTCTTATTTGCTCATCTTATCAAATTTATAATTAGTTTACTATATAGCGGATTGACATAAATATTCACTATACAGCAAATTGACACAAAGATTTCTTTCCATGAAACAAGTTTACTGGTAGCGTGTAATTAATCAGAAAGGTATTTCCCGCTGATGCCTGTCACGAGACTGCATTTGTTTTGACTCTTCAATGATCAAGATATCTATATCTCTACAAATTAATTTAATGAAACAAGTAGATACCTCCGTGCTTTACACAATTAATATTAATACCATCAATGAATGAAAAGAATAGTATCCTTTGAATTTCCGTCGTATTTGATATTATCACATTCGAAAATACGAAGCACGTACGGACAGTAAAACCAAAACATATTCGTGCTCAAGCAACGTGTATCGCTTAATTTACACATGTATTTTCGGGACAATACACTTAATCTCGACTCTTCATAAATAATTCAAGACTGGCCCTCCAAATTGACACAGGAAATGAAATGGAAGGAACCAAGGAAATCGTGTTGACAAGCTTATCAAACGATACGCTGTTATTATTGATATTGAACTTTATCTACCCACCGATATGGAAAGTTTTTATAAAAATAAAGACGAGTGATAGAAGAGTGTCAGACTGTATCTACAAACCTTGGTACACGCTTAAATTTATTTTACTACTTCAGATCTGTAACCTATGCTAGCAGTTATACTCTACACTCTTTAATACATGATATCATACACGAAACATGAACTATGATGCAAGGCAACATTAGAATGATATTTTCTTTTCTAGATACCACACGTTCAATTACTATGCGTTAGATTTCCACACGTTCAATTATTACACGTTAGATCTCCATAGGTTCGACTACCACGCGTTAGATTTCCACACATTTGATTACCACGCGTTAGATATCCACACGTTCAATCCCTACGCGTTAGATTTCCACGCGTTCAATTATTACACGTTAGATCTCCATAGGTTCGATTACCACGCGTTAGATTTCCGCACATTCGATTACCATGCGTTAGATTTTCACACGTCCAATTACCACACGTTAGATATCCACACGTTCAATAACCACACGTTCAATTACTACGCGTTAGATTTCCACACGTTCAATTATCACGCGTTAAATTTCCACACACTGCATCGCTACATATTAAATTACCACGCGATAAATTATTACGCGTTAGATTTTCTATACACCAAATTACCACGCACTAAATTACTACAAGTTAGAGTCCCACACATCGCAACCCTCCGTGTCAGATTACTACGCGTCGGATATCCACACGTTCGATTACTACGCATTAGATTTCCACACGTTCAATTACTACGCGTTAGATATCCATACGTTCAAATAAATACGATACAAACTGCTATACCAAGAGTCCACATCCGAATCCTCCACATCTTTCCAAGAAGCGAAGCTTGAGAGCTCGTAGCCGCTCGCGGGGCGTATTTGTAACGCATTAACATGCCCGCCACGGAACTTTCATCGATGCGCATATAGCCTCGGTTATTTCCTTCGGTGGATGAAGCGCATTCGCCTCGTAGCATGTAAAACAGTACCAGCTCGATTCATCTTTTTCACGCTCAGACCGGTGGCTTGTAATTTTTCTGTAGGACGGAAGTTTTCGCGCGTATCTGATCGGCCGATCGTCTTGTAATTCACCGGGCGAGTCGGAAGCTCGAAACCGGGAATATTCGGCTCTCGTTTTTCTCCTCTACGTGTACGCTTTCTTTCTT